GGCCTGTCTGCTCGGCCGCCCGTCCCACTGCTGATCAACTTACTTTTTAAAAAAAATATGTTCTTATTGATTTCAGGGGGAAAGAGGGAGCGGGAGAGAGGGAAACATCAATGATGAGAGTGATGGGGCGGCTGCCTCCTGTGCGCCCCCTACTGGGGGTGGAGCCCCGAGGGGAACGGAACCTTGACCTCCTGGTTCACAGGTCGGCGCATCAACACTTACATTTTATCAAACAGCACTTTGTATTGTTCGTCTCCTCTGCCTCCTTCCACTTCGTGGTCCAGCTTGGTGATGATCTCATTTTCGAACTGTAATTGAACAGAGGGCGTGTCAGGAATCAGGGCGGGGAATCCCACCTCAGTCCTGGGATTGTAGCCAGGTGACTGCCTGTCACCCGGGAGTCAGTCCTGAGGTCACCCATCGACCTGGGCGAGGTAGGAATGGGGGCTGGGAGAGACCCAGCTCCCACAGAGACCAACGGAATGGTGATGGGCAGGAGGAACAGAAGGAGACAAGGGCCGAGCTCAGGGTCAGGAAGCAAGCACACCGTGGGCCACATGATGCAAGGACCCCTGGGGCCCCTTGAACACATATGCCCAGACTCTGCCTCCTCAGGCAACGATCCCAAGTCCCCCCTATTATCAGGATCCCTGAGTTTAAGCTGCAAGAGAGGAAGACTTTACTTCGCTGTTTCTATTTTTGTTAATCCTTGCCTGAGGATATTTTTCCATTGATTTTTTTTTTAGAGAGAGTGTAGGGGGGAGAGATAGAGAGAGAAACATCAATGTAAGAGAGACACACTGATTGGTTGCCTCCGGCACGTGGGATTGAACCTGCAACCCAGGTACATGCCCTTGACTGGGAATCCAACCTGCGGCCCTTTGGTGCAGGGGCCGATGCTCTAACCACTGAGAACACCGGCCAGGGCTCCTTCTCTCTTGGTCACTGCTGTGTCCCCGACACCTAGAACAGCGCCTGGTGTTGATGATGCTGATTGGATCACACATGACATTCACATCCATTATTAGATAGAGTTGGTGTTGAATTGCAGCTCAGGGGTGGGAGGCTTGATAGGTCAGCAAAGGAGAGGGCCAGCAGGTGGCTAAGACACACCTGCTCTCCAGGCCACACAAGCCACACGGTGAACACACTCATCTGAGTGCTGGTCCCAGGCACTGCAGGCGCCGCCTGCCACCCTGGGGACTCAGGGAGCGGCTGCTGCAGTGGCGGCTGGCTGTGGCTCCCTGGGCAGCAGCAGGCAAGGGGTCCGGTGAGACCCAGGGAGGAGCCTGGAAGCAGGCCCCGGCCCGCCTGACCTCGACCAGGCCGTGCATCTGAGCCCCGATCACGCTGCAGACAGAACAGAGCTGCAAACAGCCTGCAGAGAAGTATCGATTCTTGCTTGACATCAAGGACCCGGCAAGCTCGCGAGAGCCCGGGCCTCGGCGAACCCCTGCAAGTCTCCCCTCGATCTTCTCCATCACCTCCTCCCCCAGACAAACACCCTCTTGATTCTGTCTGGCCCCAGCAGTGCAGGGATTTCTGCAACAGGAAAAGTGGCGGTTTTACTGGAGAAGAAAGGATGACCCGCTCTTTCCTTTTCACTGGAAGCCCCATGGTGATGACTTTTACTGACCCGCTATTATTCGCTCTTCACACGAAAGACTCCGGGGCGAGGGAGACGCTGGCTCCTAGCCCGAAGCTGGCGTTTCCAGACAACCCCACGCCCCCAACTGTGCCGTAATGGGCACGCTGACGGTTCAGTGTCAGGTGAGGGCTGACTCTTCAGAAAAAACCCACTGAGATACAAAATAAGACTAAGTTTAATTAAAACACACGATTCAATCCCACCCATGTTTAATGAGCACCCAACGGGGAAGGCACAGAGGGTGCAAACATGCCTCACCCTCACACAGGCAAACTGGTCACCCCAGTTCATCAGGCGGCACTGAACTTGGAGCCTGCCTCCTGGAAACGGCACGTGTCCTCGGCTCCCACGTAAACCTCGCCGCCACAGATACCGGCAATGAGGCGGCTCCGGCTCACTGAGCAGTGTGCTTATCAAATCATGACGGGTGCACTTAACGTCTTCTAAAAAGAGCGAGCGAGTGACAAGGAAATCAGAGGGACGCAGCTGAGTCTAATTTCACTAACCTCCAGTCTACACCAGGTAATTTGCGCAGACACCTGGCAGCCCTGCCTGTTGATCAGCACGGACTCGACACACTGGCCCACAGCGAGCGACCGACCGATTGCAGGGCCTTCAGGAAGTTTTACGGGACACACGGGGAACCCTTTGCTGGAGACAGGGAGCTGTGAACGGTTATCGTAATCAGAATGAACCGATGCTGCCCAGATAAATGGGAGGAAGTGCATTTGTCGATGGAGCAGAGCTGGTTTTACAAAAATCACATTTATCATCCTAATCAGTGCCTGCTGTTTGGTGATTCGCAATAGGATGAAATTAGAGAGGGTTTACTTTATGGCTCTAAGGTGGCAGAAGCTCACTCATGTGATCAGCAAAATCAGTATAGAGTATTTTCCTCTCTTTTCTGAATGGCCAGTATCATTACAAACATACCCACAGGGTATCCAACTGAAAATACTGAACTAAGCACCTCTGCTTTCGAGACCAGCAGCCCTCTGAGAACATGCAAGAAAAGAAGCCACATTCGAACACAGGGTTTTTTGGAAGGTCACTGTTACACGGAATGTGGAGGAGCCTGGGTTGCACTCACAGGGCACTGACATCATTAATTAAATTAACCCAGAAAGGAAGCATCGCTCCGGCATCCAGTGCCAGTTAACCTGGGATTATCGGCTGCAATGTAAGAGACCATGGGGCGAAGGGTCTCTGCAGTGGAAAATCCAAAAGCCAATTCTATTTAGTTTTGAATGCATGTTTTTTGGGGGTTAGGTGTATCATTTTGACTATAAATGTATGAAATGAATAAATGCATTTATAAGTGTATGAAACCAGGCTTGCATTTTGCAGACATCCGTCTTGGGGATGTGGGAGCAAGCTGGGAAACTGGACAGGGAAGGAAGGGTTTGCACGGTAACCCACCTCACTGACGCAGGGCGTAGAGGATGTCCAGAGCTGGGCGAGAGCTGAATCTGGGAACGTGCTATGCTAACCATGTCGGTGACACAGGAACCTGAGCAAACGGAGGCCCTCACTCTGCCCTGTGTGCTGTATTCGCTCTGGCTTTTCAAAACGGCTCACAGGCTACAGGATTTGGGAGCACAGTTTTAGGCCACCACTGGTAGCAGAGAGCATCAAGAAACCAGTGTCCCTGCTTCTGCACTTGCAGGCAGAACAGAGCCCATCCCACAGAAGGGCAGAACCAGGCCCCTTCAATTTGGAAGTAACAGGAGGGGTGGGAAGGAGAAAGTCACTGAACCATATCTGCATGAAAAACAAGCCAATGGGGAGGAACCGGAACGGCTGCGCAGAGAACAGCCGGCTCTCCAACAATCTCGGGGCGCAGGCTCTCAGGTTGACATCCAAAAAGCATCGGATTCCCTGCAGCCTGTCACTCTGCTCAGACACACTCATATTTGTATGTGCACGGCATTCCTCTTGCTTAGCAGCTCTATAAACTTAATTACACACTTAATTAATCTTTGGCGCTCTGCATCCCACATTCTAAAATCCCCACACCCTCCTAAGTCTGACAAGCAGGCGGTTTCACTGACCTTGAAGCTCCTGCAATACTTAGGAACCCAGAGGCTCCAAGGCCCCAAACCTGAGCGGTCTGGCTGGGGCACTGCGCTGCCCAGCGGCTCACCTGGCAACCCCTCAAACAGGTGCATGGCCCGGATCTTGGAGGGACTTGGGTTGCATGCAGTAAAACGGTGCACTCCAGGGACATGCCCCAGAGGGAGTCCTGTTTAATTTTGCTAAAGGAGATGGTGGGAGTGTGGGCATCTCTTTGCTAGTGGGCTTTTAAGAACAGAATTCGACGTAATTAGAAGTCTTGGAGCCAAGGGTATTGGTGTCCGTGATCTCTGGAACAGCTTTGGGTCCGTGATTCAGTGAAATTAAAGCCTAAGTCTTGTCCCTATTTCCCCTTGAAGCATCCAAAACAACAGAATCAAGTGCGACTTTGAAATGGAAATCAAAATAAACCGACCAACAAAATCCCAGTGAACCGGGAAATAAACACAATAAAACTGCCACCAAACTCATCCACATTCGTATGACACAGCAAACTACACCGGCTTTCCCATCCCGGGGCAGAGGCCAACGCCCAGGTGGGTCACTCAATTACCCGCTTAAGGGTTACCGGCACGGGCGGCCGGCGGAGATCACTGGGACACGGATGCAGACGGCGAAGGCCAGGGATTACTCATGTTCCAAGGCTGTCGCCGCTAACTGGGGGTTCCCGGAAGCTGGGGGCATTTTACTGACCCCGGCAAAGGTGACAGGAAACGGCTCGGGGACTGAAAATCTTACTTTGCGGCGGAGCCTTTCCAGCCCCTTTGGTTAATGGTCTGGAGACCCCACGGTCAGCTGCGGCGACTCTCAGCTGTGAGCTCTGCATTTTCCAAAGACAGAACACGTGGGATTCCTCACAAAGGTGCCAGGAGAGAATTAAGACTGTGCTTCTTTTTATGAAGCAGAATCCAGTGGGACTGAGGCCAAAATGCTGTGAGTCCATGAACTCTGTGTGATTGACGGAGAAACCCCAGAGCCTGTGGCCCAGAGGACTGGAGGCATTTTCCTGGAAGACGGTGGTCGGATATTTTAAAGCTACAGTGAAACAGGAAAGGTGGAGGAACAGTTCAGAAACCAAACTCTCCTCCCGTCTCTATCCCCTTGGCCTTATTTTGGCCCAGAGACTGCTTAAGAGGATGACAAATGACGGGACATTTCAAAGGCGTCTGAACTGCGTTTTCCAGGCTAGTAACATTTATACATACAGAGTGTCCCCCAAAAACGTATACACACTTGAACAGCCGAGAGCTCGGTTTTGAAAACTAAGTGTGTTTTAATAGCACTGCCCCTATAATTATTCAAAGTGTGTATGTACATTTTTGGGGATACCCTAGATACACATTTTCCTCTTTTCCAGATTCTCTCATTTCATAGCATCTTTTCATAAGGTCCTTCCCTGGAGCTTGACTCATATAAAATTCAAAAAGTCAGATGATTTTCAGCCCGGGAAAAAGCATTTTTTAATGACAATTCCCAGCTCTGCTGAGTTGGCAGTGAGATTGGGCCATGAGTTAGAGCCCGGGGCAGTGGAGATGAATCAACTCTTACAGCAAAAATATAAAAAAAAACCGGCCGTAATGTCAAAGGCTATACTTTGAATCCGCAACCCCGTTTCTGAGAACATATACCGGGAAAGCTTTAAAAGAAAGCCAAGCCGCATGGATGGGTACGCTCGCTGCCCACTTACTCAGAGAAGTGAAAATCTGCACATGACCTACATGCCCGACCAGGGGGTGGCCGAGAGAAGACCGGCCACCGCGCTTCACGAAACCCTACGCCAGCCTCACCGTCACGGCTCCTTCCTACGCTGTAATCAAGGAAACTGTCTTTGATACATCGTCAAACAAAAAAACAAGGAGACTTAGACAATGTTTACAACATCACAATTACATTTGTACAAAGACAGACAGTGGACCAGAGGCACAAACACAGCTGTTCTTTACAACGGACTCTTTATTCTGACAAATAAAGAAATGTAAGGAAATCTTCCTCGCCTGTGGGAAGGAAGGAAGGAAGGAAGGAAGGAAGGAAGGAAGGAAGGAAGGAAGGAAGGAAGGAA